TTCTTTAATTCCCCTAAACTGTGGTGGAACCCATATCATCTGACTCAATCTATTGCCACTAAGATCATTTTCAATTGTTACCCAACTTTTCCCCTTATAGTTAAATGTCCAGTCATATATTCTTGCTAAAACCACTGCTTTATAGTATCTCTTGACATCTGGTAGGCCCAATCCCCCTTTCTCTTTAGTCCTACTCAATGTTTCATATGCTATCTCTAGTTTTTTATTCTTCCAAATATATCTTGTTAACATTTTTTTCATTATCTTAAAGAAGGCTTCTGGAATTTTAATTGGTACCATTTGAAATCTATACAGTATTTTTAGGCATAATTACCATTTTGACTAGGTTTATATGTCCTATCCAGGATGGATTTCCTCCTTCTAGTCTTTTTAAATCTTCCCTGATCTCATTTATCAAAGAGATATAGTTTAATCTATACAAATGCTTAGCTGAGGCAGTGAGTTTTATTCCTAGGTATTTTATCTCTTTTTCTCTCCCATATAAAGGGGAATTCTTTTTGTAGTTTTTCTTTTTCATTCTTTGGTATATTAATATTCAGAATCTCTGTTTTCGTTGGATTAATTTTTAAATTTGATAGTTCACCATACTCCTTCAGAATCTTCATTATATTTGGGAGAGTTATTCGGGGATTCCCAACATAGAACAATAAGTCGTCCGCAAAGGCCGCTACTCTATGTTCTATGGATTCTATCTGAATTCCCTTTACCGATCCACTATTTCTTATTATTGACAACAGAGGTTAGAGTGACAATACATATAGCAGAGGGGACAGTGGACAGCCCTGTCTTGTACCATTAGACATTCCGATGGGTTCTGATCTCTCCCCATTTACCGTGATAATTGCAGTGGGCTCCCTATATAATTTACTTATCCACTCTCGCATTCTATCACCTATCCCTAGCACTTTTAAGTTGTCCATCATAAAGCCCCAGTCCACTCTATCAAATGCCTTTTCAGCATCAATTGACAAGAGCACCACCGGGGCTTTCCCTTTTCTACTTTTCTGAATAAGCATCAGGGTTCTCAAGCCGTTATCTCTGCCTTCTCTCCCCGGTACAAAACCCACCTGGTCTCCATGGATCCATTCAGGCATCAGATCCCTCAACCTGTTTGCTAACACCTTTGCATACAGTTTAGTGTCTACGTTCAATAATGAGATAGGTCTATAGCTGGAGCACTGAGATGGATCTTTTCCTTCCTTGTGGATAAGTACTACATGGGCCTGTAGGGATTCTCTCCTCACTTCCATCCCCCCTCCCAGAGCATTCATATATTTCTCTAACTTGGGTAGAAGTACTTCACTAAATTTCTTATAGTACTTAACTGTATATCCATCCGGGCCGGGGCTTTTTCCTCCCCCTGTGCTTTTTAATGCTATTTTAATTTCTTCCTGGGAGATTTCTGCATCTAGGGAGTTCAACTGTGCTTCACTTAGTTTTGGTAATTCCGCATTTTTTAAGTATGTCATCTTTTTTTCATTAATTCCCTCTTGGGCTTCTTTTAGGGGGCCTTGGGGGCTAATATTATATAACTTTTTGTAATACTCCGTAAACTCTTTAATAATCTCTTTATTTGAGTGGACCAACTCCCCCTTTGAACTTTTTATCTTTTCTATATAATTCCTATTTTTCTTTTTATTCAAAGCTTTCATTAAGTATCTTCCTGGTCTGTCTCCCCATCTATATCTTTCGTTCAAAACCCTGTTGTATACTCTTCTCTTCTCCTCATCCATCAACCTCTCTAGTTCATCTTTTTTATCCGATAACCTCTGTCTCATATCTTTTGTTATTTTCGTCTTATGGATCTGCTCCAAGTCCAATATTTCTTTTAAGAGCCCACTGACCCTCTCTCTTCTTTCCTTTTTCTTCCTTGCTCCTGCCGCAATCAAGATTCCTCTTATGAATACCTTATGGCTTTCCCAGACTATAGCTATCGATACAGCCTCTGTTTCGTTCTCCTTAAAGTATACCTTAATCTCTTTCTCGATTTTCTGAACTACATCCTCATCCAGAAGAAGACCATCATTTAACCTCCACCCCATTCCTCCCGTCCACCTTCTTCCCCATCCCATTTTCATTTTTACAACCGGGGCATGGTCCGAGAACGTCCTTGTCTCTATGTCAATTTTAACCAGATGATCTATAAGTTGATGGTCTATTAGGATGTAATCTAATCTCGAGTATATCTCATGTGCATTAGAGAAGAAGGTATAGTCTCTGTCTTTCATATGCTTTATTCTCCAAGTGTCCACTAGTTGATATTCATGCATCACTTTTTTCAAAGCTCTCAGAGACCTACTCCCCTCTCTTTGCACAGAAGAGGTATTATCCTTTTGTGGGTCCATACAGAAATTTAGGTCTCCAGCTACTATCAGGCGCCCTGTTTTAAATTCCATTAATTTTTTCAGCAGACCCTTCTTATACATCTCCGGGTTTTTATTAGGGCAGTATATATTGGCTAAAGTACACTCAATCCCCTGGAGTCTACCTTTTAAGAATAAAAACCTCCCCTCAGGGTCGGTTCTTCTACCATCCAGCTCAAATCTCATATTCTTTGCAAAACCTATTGCAACCCCTTTAGCTCTTTTAATTGGAGAGTCTGCATAGTACCCATGTTGGGTAGTGTTTGGATTTCAATTTCACGTTTACCTCTGTCTCAAAATGCGTCTCCTGTAAAAATACCACTGACGTAGCCCTATGATGTAACTCATTAAACAACCTAAATCTCTTCCCTGGACAACTCAACCCATTCACATTATAGGTTATAAACTGTATTTCTTCCATCATTCCCAATTAACTCCATCTCTCTTCCAGATTGCCTCTTCCTCTTTATCTCTTCTGTCATGCAGAGTATTGACCCAATACCTCCTCCCACCCAACTCTCATCCCCTCCCTCCCCCCTTTCCCTCCACCCCTCCCTCCCCCCCACTAGGCATCTAATGTACCTACTAATCATTTGTGGTTCTAAGAACCACTGTTGATTATTTTTGGGGTTTGAACTCTGTCCATGGACAGCTCCTCCTCCCTTCCCCCTCCTCCCCAGCTGTTCCCGTCCGTAATCTCATTTCTTTCTTTACTTTTAACAATCCGCGGTTTCACCCCTAGGGAAAATCTCAGGAAAATCTCTATTTGGACAGTAATTAATTCTACTTTCTCCCTCTAACAGTCTGCCATTCCTTTTGTCTTGCTTCTCCTCCTTTATTTTCTTCTTCCCATCCAAGGATCTCCATCCTCTGCAACTCAAGTTTTTCACAAAAGTCTCTCATATCTTCTGGGAATCTCAGGTAGGCTGTTATCCCATTTTTCCACCCAATCAGACAAATTGGGGTTCCCCATCTATAGAGGACCTTCTTTTTTCTCATCTGCTCTGTCAGTGGTTTCAAAGTTTTTTTTCTCCACAAAGTTTCTGGTCCAAGGTCTGCAAAGATCTGAATATACATTTCTCCATATTTAATCATTTTTTTTCCTTTAATCTTCCTCCAGATTTCTTCTCTATCTCCATATCTATGTAATTGGACTATAACATCTCTTGGATTTTCCTTCCCGCCACTTTGAAACTTTCCTTTTCTCCAAACACCATCTGTTTTATTCACCTCTGACGTAGCTCTATTCAATATGGAATTTAAAATTTTACATATTTCTTTTTGTAATATTTCCCCTTCTATAGTCTCTGGGATTCCTCTCAGCCTTAGGTTGTTCTTCCTGTCCCTTTTTTCTTGTACTTCCAATTTATACAGCAGCTTTATTTGCATTTTCTCCATATTTTTTACTTTTTCCTCCAATTGAGATATATTCTGGGCCTGATGTTTTACTTTTCCTTCCATTTCCTCCACTCTTGTCAGCACCTGTCCCAGATCCTTCCGTATAGTTGCCATTTCATTCTTTATTATCTTTTCTAAGGCCTCAAACATTTCTGCCATCTCTTTTTTATTTGGTGCTTGTAGGTCACTTTCCATTTCTCTCCCATCCACTATTTCTGATATCTGCTGGTTAGTGACATCCAAGCCCAATGATAATCTAGGGCTTTTTTCCAGACTGGTATCCCCTTCTCTTTTCCCGTTTATACTTTGTGGTCTTTCTGGGGTTATATTTCCCTGCGATGTATATTTTTTAATTGTTCCTGATTGGGATCCTTTAAGACCACTTCCTTTAATGCTCTTATTCTTCATGTCTTCTATAGGATTCTTTTATTCCATATGCTATTAAATAGTATACCTCTATAATAGGGTCCCCTTTTTGCCTGTTAGTTTGTCCTCTAGTTTTCCTGCTTTAAGTACTAAGTTAGTCTCTCTTTCCAGATATTCCTTATATGAATGAGTTGATCGTCCTCCACTAACAGGCTTATGACTGCTTTTGCTTGCCTGTTTTTTTCTGTCCCATTCTTCCGGGTTGTCATTGGGTCTGTGTGTATCTAGTACCTGCCACAAGTCATCTTTGGATAACAGCATTTCAAGCTTAAACTTCCATAGCTGGTAGTTGGTATTGTTGAGCTTTGCTATTGTAAACTTCATATCTGAAGCACTTGCCATCTTTCAGTGAATTGGATACAGCTCTTATTTCCTCACACAGGATTTGGTAGGATTGTAAATGCAGCACTTACTTGCTTGTAGTTTTCCTTTTTCCAGTGTCTGGAGCTGGGCCCATAACCTGTTGGTTATGAGTTAGAGAAGACACTAGTAGCTTGTGATGAGGCAGAACTTGGTTTACTTGTGTGGCTTAAGTTGCAAACATACAAAACATTTCAGCAAACTGTAACAGCAGACATCTTGGTTTTGAAGAGAGAGAGAGAGAAGAAAAAAAACAACAAGTTTTACAGATATGCACAACTGGTAACCTTAGTGTACAGTGCCATCTACTGGTCAAGTGATATTAACACACAATACCGTATATAGTACATGCTGTTGCATCCCCAACATTTTACACCACTTCATCCGATGTTTTGCATTGCTCCTGGTGATGTAAGGCTTGGAAGCAGCTGCTCGGCCATGGAAACCCATTCCATGAAGCTCTCTACACATTGTTGTTGTACTAATATGAAGACCACACAAAGTTTGGAGGTCTTTAGCTATTGACTCTGCAGACAGTTGGCAACTTCTGCGCGCTGTGCACTTCAGCATGCGCTGACCCCACTCTGTCATTTTAAGTGGCCTACCACTTCGTGGCTCTTGTTCCCAGTTGCTTCCACTTTGTTATAATACCACTAACAGTTGATCGTGGATTAATTACTAACAAGGAAATTTTACAGATAGATGTATTGCTTAGATAGCAACCTATCACGGTACCATGCTTGATTTCACTGAGCTCCTGAGAGTGACCCATTCTTTCAGAAATGTTTGTAGAAGCAGTCTGCATGTGTCAGGAACCATCGCGACGCATGGGTCTACACATGCGTAGGTGTCTGCCGAGACGTATAGGTGGCAGGGCACTAGGACCCAGGCGCACCCGTCATCTGGACAGTACTAGGCAGGCACTGGGACCCAGGCTACGCCTGTCAGGTGCAGGGCGGGCTATTTAAACTAGCCCTGCACAGACACTTGTTGCCGAATGGTCTTTGTATCCTGTTACCTGTGTGTGAGTACCTCTGATCTGGATTGTTTTGACCTTGTTGCCTTCTCCTGTCCTGACCCCTTGGCTTGCCTGACTCTGCTCCTGGATGTTCCCGTTTAGATCTGACCTCCTGGTATTGACCCTGCGTGTGACCCGACTATCCTTTGCCTACCGTTTTGTACCTTACCAATCCGCCAGTTGCCGACCCTGCCTGCATGACTCTGATTTAGCTCATCCATCCACCCACCCCGCAGGGATCACTAGGCTCCCTTACATCAGACTCCTAGCTCTCTGGAGCCCCTGTCAGACTCCTCTACCCCTGTTGGAGATACCTGGTAGTTGCGATCTGGTACCGGAGCGCTCCAAGTCCATCCCCACCATCAGGGGCCCTGGTGAACAAGTGCTCCGGTGCTTAGACTTTGCACTCTGGGGAGGCTCTACCAGGGGACTGATAGAGGTGCTGTCAGGCGGTCCATTACAGCATGCCTAGGTGCTTGATTTTATATACCTGTGGTTATGATGGTGATATCCCTGGCCACGTGGGATCTCCTGCATGGTAGGGGTTGGGGAAAGACCTGGCAACCTACCCTGTAAAATAATTGCTAAGAGAATTTATGAAAAAAGTCACTTACGAGTGACAGTCCATGCCAATCGCCAAGGGTCGGATACGACTGAATGGATAGAGAGAGAGAGATGATGGTAATTGGAACACCTGAATCCAATGATTTGGAGGGGTGTCCCAATAGTTTTGGCAATAATTTGTATTATATACACATTCACCTATGTCAGAATGAGGGAAGCTATTTTCCAAACAAATGCACCCTAGAATTCCTAGAAATGAAATATTTTGGCCCCATTTCAGAAGCACAGATCTCAAACTATATCTGCTCTCTTTAAGACCAATATTGTAAGTGAAGCGCAATAATGCAAAAAAAAAAAAAAAAAAATGCATTTACATCCTTTTTCATGTATACAAACTCAAATTAAACCCTCAAACCACTATGTTACTATTTCTATAAATGTCTGTCAATCAGTAAATGTCCACAATGTAACACAAAAATATAAATCAAATGTCCTCTGATTCTCTGTGTATACCAAATTGACAGTACTAATACTGTGATGATGAATTACTGTGAGCTTCACCACTACTTGATGAATCTTCCAGTTATATGCAGCAGCAGGAATGATACCACTATTCAGATGATCTATACCTCAACTCAAAATATAAAAAACATCTTTGTGCTTTCTGTTGATAAAAGCTCTCTTCTATTTAAAAAAAAAAACCAAAAAAAACAAAAAAAAAGGATATACACTCACATTCGCATGTGCAATTTACAACTGTACACTACTGTATGATCACTTTAGTATCCAGTATTGCCCCCTTAGATCAGTAGGTCAGCATCTCCGCTATGGCAAACCACCATTCGTGTATGATGATGATTATTATTATTATACTACAATACAATACTACAATATGCTCAGCGCTGTACAATATGAAGGGAGATAATACAGCAACGATACAGTTCAATACAAGAGTTAGGAGGGCCCTGCTCCTTGGAGCTTACAATCCTATGAGAGAAGTGTAACTTCCAGCTGTGTGGAATGATGTCACAGGCTCCACCCTGATGTGTTTCATCACTGTCATGTGATTTCCTCAAGGGAACACTTTTTACCAAGATGTTACATGACATACTGATGAAACACATTGGGGGAACCTGTGATGTCATTCCACACACCCTAGAAATTTTTAAACTCCCCTATTTTGCGGTCATAACCTGTTGCACAATGGACCAGGACCCACGTGTCTTCCTCTTCCCATTTTGGAACAATACTTTTACTAGAGGAACCTTCCAAAGATCTCCTGCTCATTCTGGAAGACTCAGCATTCAAAACCTCTAAGGAGCCACTTGAATACTAATCCTTTTGTCTAAATTTCCTGTGGCTTATTCTTGGAACTTTCCAGGTTTCACTGCCACCACCACAATGGCTTCCAGTGAGTAACACTCCTTTCCCTGTCCACTCACATGTCATCATTGGGTAAGAGCCTTCTCCTTTTCCAAGTATGATCTAAAGCCCTGTTTCATATATATATATATATATATATATATATATATATATATAGCCCATTCAACAATGAGAGTGCTCTAAAAACATGTTACCTGTGCTCATCTTGGGTACCCTTTCCCCCCATTCTTTGGAGACACATCCTTTCCTTCCTAAACCCCTTTACCTATAAACCCCCTTAAACTTTGGTTTGTTTTCTCATCTTTCCTCTACATTATGGAAACATTAGTCCACAAGGAACTATTACAACCCTTCCTGTGCACATACCCATGGGTCTTTATGGTCTCTTAGTTGTGACACCAATTTAATTTGTTTATGGCTTATGCAATGCTCTTTACTAGTTATCTATATTTGTTCTACATAGCAAACTGTCAGGCTATTTTTTTGAACCTCTCTCTGCCTCATGGTTACAGAGAAAGTTATTGTGGCGCTGCAGCTAAGGTCTTTTGCCTGTTATGCTACCTGCCAATACCCTATCAGCACTCACATTTTAGTAAGGTTGTATGTTTAAGATTTTATGTACATGGTATGTACATGTTTATGCACTCCCAGCTGAGAGACTACAACATTTATTCCATAGGAGTTTTTCTTCAGAGGCCTTTTTCCTTTCCTAAAGATCCAATTTCCTATTGGGCTATTGTAGTAAATCCTTCTATCATTTTAAAAAATGACTTCAAGGTCTGACTATATGACACCCACCTCCGTGCACCCCTTGGCTGGGATTGAGTCTTCCCAGCTATCTCTAGTACACCCCATACACTACTCTGGGTATCTCAAAAGCTACCTAGGCACTTACACTGCCTACTCTTCACCACAGGGTTCTCAATGCTAACTGTGGTGACATCTAGTGGACAATTTGAGGAATTACATCTGGCACTCCTGTCCTCCCACCCCACATTACTAAGAAGTTATGTCATCTTTCTAGATCAGATGATTTTAGAGCCAATTTGTTTCTGGTAGCTGACAGGAGGATGGCATAAAATTGTGCACTCTCACATGAACAAACACAACCAACCCAACCAAGATAGTTGATATTCACAAACACTTCTGTTTTATTTACACAAAACCACCATCTTTCAATTCCATATCTGCAGATAGAATTTTTACAGATCATAAAGGCTAAACTCACTTTTGGACCATGTTACATGTTCCACCTGCATTTAGGGTGGAATATGTAACATGGTCCAGCTCCTGCCTCCTCTCCCCCTATCCTCCTCTCCCTGCCCTTTGCAAGTCACCACAAGTATTTTTGCTTAATTATCATTTCATGGTCCATATTGTTTTTTTGCCAGTGACTCTTTTCTTGTGCCATATCAAGAGTCTTGCTGTATTACCACCTAGTGGACAAATATACGAATTTGTTGTTGATCATCCTGTTTTGGATGCCTCCTTTTTATAACCCTCAGTTGAATGCCGGTTATATTTCTTTGTACCTTTCTGTCTTGCGTACAGTCAGTAAAGGTCAAGTAAACATCACTGTATGTTTTGTCCTTGGTTGATACTGCTACACAATACCTCTAGCCATCTAATCACTTAAGACTAACAAATCTACAGGCTCCAATGGCTTCTCTAATCTTTATTACAAAAAATACAGGAAAATACTAGCACCATATTCGGTCACACCATTTAATGACCTACAATTCCTTCCATCCTTCCTATGTCAATATTAACATGTTACCACTATCACTTCATCTCAGCACTCAATTCAGATCATAAGCTTTTAGCAAAATCTTAGAATTAATTATTCCTTCACTCTCTCATTTACAGGAACCAGGTAGAGAGCATGGTATTTACAGGAACCAGGTAGGGAGCATGGTTTATACCTTTTTTGTCAGGTAGGTAACACTGTCCGCATTATTGTACACTTAATTCATATAGTGCAACAATGCTCCATTCCAGATTTTCTCCTTTCAATCAATATTGATAAAGAATTAAATACTATATCATGGACTTCCAACTGCTAAAGGGTAGCCTGGTCCCACTTTTTGTGCATGAATAGCTTTTCTTTATAATGCTCTGTCAGTCAGGGCGACTTATGCATTTTACTCCATTGCAGATTTCCGAATCAATACAGGATGTCCCTTGTCTACTATACTATTCTAGCTATAGAACCACTAACTATATTGGTAAGAGAAAATCCAAATCTCAATGAAGTTGCAGGCATTCCATTAAAAATTAGTCTATTTGCAGATGATCCTATTGACCTTGACCCAATTTAGGATTTCTCTACCTTCCTTTCCTTCTGTACTATGATTACTCAGCAACATTTATGGACTTACAGTTAATCATAACAAATCCCAAGTGTAAAATGTGCTCTGCTTGGAGTGTCTTGATTCCAAGAGGGATGCCTAACTCTTACAACAAGGGTTAGGGATAAAACTACATAATATTTACAAATTAGGAATTGGGATAATACAATGGGTAGGGAGAAGTACTGGGGAAAGGAAAGGGATCTATAAACGTCTACACATACAGGTGAAACTCGAAAAATTTGAATATCGTGCAAAAGTTCATTTATTTCAGTAATGCAACTTAAAAGGTGAAACTAATATATGAGATAGACTCATTACATGCAAAGCAAGATAGTTCAAGCCGTGATTTGTCATAACTTTGATGATTATGGCTTACAGCTCATGAAAACCCCAAATCCACAATCTCAGAAAATTAGAATATTGTGAAAAGGTGCAATATTCTAGGCTCAAAGTGTCCCACTCTAATCAGCTAATTTTGAGTTTCACCTGTACATCCTCACTCATTCTCTCTGATTCTCTCATAACAGAGCCCTTTTTGACCAGATTTGAGACCCACACCCCCAGCTGAGGGTTGATAATTGCAGTCAGTGATATCTCGAACAAAAGGTCACAAAGTTAATTCCTGTCCCAGGCTTATAATTTAATTTCTGATCAGATGTCCACAAAAGCCAGATCTGGGCAGTAAACCCCTGCAGGGGGTCCTAATGTTCAGTATGTCCACTCCATTCTTCCCCTTCAATAACCACATTGTCCAGGTGTGGGGGCTGGGGGCTTACTAGTCAAATGTTAACAAACTCATGTATTTATCTAGCCCCTGATAAAGTTGGCTAGCTATGCAAATGTCTATATTTTAGTTCATGTCCAAACTGCAATTATATATTTTTTTATCGAATATTACACCAAGCTTTTAATATCTCCATTCCAACACTATTCATTGACCTTTTGAGACCAAAATTTTCTATTTCATTGGACTTTTAGACTTCTGGATTACATAGGCACCAAACTGATGGGGTTCCACTACTCCCTCCATACTACTAACTATATCCCACTTGTTAAGTCCCTTAAACTCCTTTTACAATCCTTGAAATCTCTACCTATTTCTTGGCTAAGCCAGATGATTGTCACTGGAGTGACCCTCCTCCCTAAACTTCTCTTCTTCTTTTGAAATCTCCCCATTCCAATT